TATATGTATGGTAGTGTCAGTTTGAAAATTACAAATATAAAAGGTAAATACATTTTATGCATTTCCACATGTCCAATTTTTGACTATTGTGACGATTTAACCTGCATGTATTCCACAGGCGGTGGCATCAAGCTGTTGGTCGGTGATGAAGCAGAGGAGGCAGCACATGAAGGTAAACGTCCAACAAAATGTTCAAAAATCTTTTTGTTGAGTCCGTAGGAGGACTCACTTTAGAGATCTGTCACACTGTTTTACCTCCTGACTCAGGTCATGATCTCAGGTCTGTAAAAACCCGACAACCCGATCTCTACTCTGCTTATGATTTGTATTTGTTTGGACGGTTCCAGTAACCTCTCCCGTTTGTCTCAGGTGTCTGACGGCTTCATCGCTCACTTCTACGCTGTGTGTGAACAGATCAGCCCCGTCCTGGCCTGGGGCTTCCTGGGGCCCAAGAGCTCCCTGCATGACTTCTGCTGCTTCTTCAAGGTTGGTCTGATGGTGACTCTCCTTTAAATAGGATCTTTACTTCTGTTGGTTTCTACCGCAAGCAGGGTTTCATCGTCGTACCCAAAATAGGGACACAGTGATTTCAGTAAAGTAGTCGGATATTTAAATTATTTTAAATTTGATAGGAAAACAGATTTGTGCGATAATTTAATGTTGCGGAACATCACAACATTTTCCGATTGTTGCTCCGAGAAGGAAACAGGTCAGCATACAGTAGATACCGATAAACTACCTCCTCTAGAGGGAAGGACATGACACAGAACATGTTTCTGGAAGAAGACCAAAGAGGTCTGATTATGCACCAGCCTGGCTTTCGCCTAATTTTTAAATATTCAAATAATAAGAGAAAATAAGATACGCCTTTATTGATCTCCAGTGGGGAATAAAAGGTGGTAAAAATATAAATGAGGTATATAAGACACACCTGTTCTAAAAGTATGTTTTCTTCTCCTTCAGGATCAGGTGTTGTACTTCCTCAAGGACATTTTCGACCTGGACAAAGTGCGCTACTCCTCTGTGGAGAGTCTAGCGGAGGACATGCTCCGCCTGCTGCACCGGCGCTCCGAGCTGCTGGTGGCCTACCTGGGAGCCGACCCCCTGCGGCAAGTCAGCGGCTGCAGCGCCGCGCAGGTGCAGCTGGTGCCCAGCGCCCTGCTGGAGGCTCCGGTGCAATAAGGGACAGGGGGGGGGGGGACTGGGTCATCGCAGCGCCACACACACACACACATGGAAGACTTGTGCTGACTCGGGTGAGTTCACACCAGCTGTCAAAGACTTTATTTTCCACAAGACTGCTCATTAAATGTAAAACACTATTTCACCTTGGTCCGACAACCGGCTCATCACATCTCCCATGATGCTTTGCACCGTATCTGAGGATGAATTGTACCAGCTGCCTTGCCTTCACACGTGATCATTATCTCCAGTGCGGCCTCCTCAGCTTCACTGTGCCATGGCAGTGCACGCTAGTTTCCAAACATCACAGCAATAATATTTATACTCGCTGTGAGACATTTCACAGTAATTATCTGGCCGTAGTAGATATTCCGCTGTGAAACTTTTTATTGCTATTAAGAGCAATTTGTGTGGAAATAAAAGGATATTTTAGTATTTATTTTATTATAAAGTTTCAGGATTCATTTTTTAGAAGTTGTAGTTGTGCATCAATGGATTTGTTATAAGCTTCAAACATACAGTAGTATGAATACCAGTGTTGTATTTTAAACTCTAAGCTAAACTAAGATTTATGATTACAATGCAAAATCATTAAATGTGCTTTGTTTTTGATCCAAGCACACGTTGCACAGGGAAGTCATTGATCGAAGGGACTGTGTGGTAAATGTAAAATGCGTTTGAGTTATTACATGTTACTTAAAAGCTGTTTTGTTGGCACCGGGCTTCACAAAGCTTCATGCAATATTTAAATAAAGCCTGGCTCATGCAGCCTACAAGGCCTTTAATCCCATCATACCGTTAACTACAGAATATGAAAGATTATAAATCACTATTACATAATCCTTCAGCTGTTCAACACTTTCACATGATGGGCACACATGGAAGAAGCCTTACCGTTAATGCACATACTCCAGCCTTGTCTTCATCACTGAATGTAAGTCTTAAAAATACAATTTCTCTGCCATGTACAGAACATGCTCAATGTCAAAGCTCAGCACTACCCGCTATAAGAGGTAATGTTCCAAAAATACTAGATTCATATTTTAGGAGTTGTCATTTGCATTATTTTCCACTTTGAAAGACGGGTTCATCTTGACACCCACATGTACTTTTTTTGAAAGAGTTACTGTGGTCGTTCCTCTTGGTAATTTAAACTACAACAGTCTGTTAGTCTTGAGTTTCCATGATGGTGGCTATTTAAAAATGATTTGCTGTAACTCAGACTGTAGGAGCCTATTTAGAACCAGATTTGTCCACTTTGATTGTAAATTCATTATGAAGGGATCTTCTCAGCCAGTATGAACAGGAGGAATGGTGGATCTAGTGTTTCAATGCATAAGATTACAAAAATGGTTTAAAAACCAAGAAAAATGTGATTGTACTTCAAGATGCTTATTGTCACGTGTTCACCTTTTTTTTTTTTTTTTTCAAAAGTCAATTCAGCAAATAAATACTTGTATTTTTCTTCCCGCTTCTTTTCTCCACTACGTAAAATAAAACTCAAGTCAATGAGGCCAGTTCATTTTGTTACAACTTTATTAATGAACATGGCAACATTTCAAAAGTCATAACAGTTGATTCAATAAGCAAAAAGAAACAATATATTTGAGAATATACAGAGAAACACATGAAACCATTGTTTACCTCTAAGGCATGCTCCATGTTTTGTCTTCTACACCCCCACGAACTGTGTTGAAACACTGAGCGTCTCACATGTACAGAAAGAACAGCCTCAAAAACAAACAGTGACCCTTAAACTAAAGAGAAAAGTGATTTTAGACTGACACCCCACCCCCAAATTGTTACTGCCAATAAAAACAGTGCATGTCATTTTAAAGTAGATCACTTCCTGTCCTCATCCAACTTTCTAAAGCACATTCCTACTGACTAAAGGTTATTCAAGAAGCGACACAACAGACCATCATACAACTCTAAATTACACTATAGCATCATGGATTTGTTAAAAAACAGTTGATCCGAGCTGAAAAACATTTATCTGACCATCACTTTGCAATCAACAGAATTTTGATTTTCATTGCGTTGCTGTTTTGTTTTTTTACCTTATGACTGGAGCTCTTGAACGGTCTACGTTCAGCAGTGGGGATTGACTCAAAGGATTCCTCGTTTTGGGGACGACAAACTACGACAGCGCCTGATTCTAAGACCTACGCTCGCAGCGTCCTCCAACACTGTGAGCGAGAAGTGAAGGCAGCAGCGTTTCAATAGGAGATTTGCACTGCACTAGAGGGCAGATTCACACCACGACAGATTATAAAATATATATATTAAAAAAAAAAAATTTTAAAAAATAGAAATCATGTATTTCACCGTTTGATCTAGCGACTGAGCACATTGCTAAACTTCTGGCAACACGTTTTTGCATGGCATGCAGTTTGGATGTACCAGCGTCATAAGTTATCTAAAGCATCGACACACTATCACCGTCAAGACTTACCGGGATGGAAAAGATAAAAAAGGCTATCAGCGAATATTATGCACACACGACAACATTTTCCTCAGTGAGCCTATGCAACAACTTTGTCTAAAGGTAAAGTCACTTTTTTGAAAAAGTCAAACTCCATGTAACAAAAGTCATACAGCTCATATCATGCAGTTCATTCATGAAAGCAGATTATCTTAAAGGGCTGTTCATACGAGAGAAATCCTGGACATTCCTTGACTACTAAGCATAAATGCATTGAGGGCATGTTAAAGACACAGGTATGCATTGCTTTGCATGTAAATTGGTCATGTCACTAGACAAAAACACTGGTTCCTTAGGTTTCGCTTACCTGTGTTATTGCAGCAGAACCTAAGGTGCAAGGTCTGGGACGACACTGCAAAGATCAGATATATGTATTGCACTGGTTGCCATCAGTGAACAATGCTTCAAATTAACAGCCTTTCACAACAGTGCTCATTCAGAAAATAAATGTCATAAATCAATACTGGGCTAGTCAGAAGCACTTCCACTGCTACCATTCCACATGCTCATATAGGACATTGAAGTAATAACAGCAGAAACCTAAGCATGCTACACTGGAGTTATGCAGTAGGGCCTTTCTAATACGTTGCAATAAATGGCATTTTTTTTTTTTTATAAATAAAAAAACATGACAGTCAACCTAGATAATGGCACTTAGCAGATCAGGTATTCAAAAAAAACGCAAATAACCACATGGGGGCATCCTTAAAAACAGTTCCTACCAACAGTGTAACAGAGTGCTGACATTCAAACCCTCAGTTCAGAAATCCAACTGGCGCTGAAATGCTACCAACACAAATAGTCTAACAATCTACAGAGCATCGACATACTGGAAGATTCAAAGTCTGAATGGGGTGGACAGATACGTCTCAGAAACATGTGGCACAAGAATCCAAAGTACTATTCCTCTCCTCAGAACATTTCATACTTACCCAGAGACAGGGGGGAAATGGCAAGATTTGACAAAAAAATATATATACTACATCTTTTGCAGTTTATAAAAGCATCAAAAAGGCGATTATCTCTCAGTCACAGGTTTGTACTTACAGTATAGGAGGGCTCAACTGATGGACGAAGACTGCTTAGCCACCCCCGACCCTACAACATCTATGTTCTTATATTGGATAAACACTAACAGAATGGGGACAGCAAAAACGATTTTTTGCAATGTTTTTATATTAAAAAAACATTTTATATAAAAAAAAAAACACAAATTTATACATGTGAGTTAGTTCGCACTTTGAGAAAAGGGCATGACAAACGTTTCAATGCATTTTCGATACAATGGCAATTTACCTGGCTGTCCTGGGAAAAAGAACAGCACAAAAAAAATATATATATATATATATATCACTAAAAATATGCAACATTTCTTGCAACCACGTTTCTGAGGAACATGTTAGGGAGAAAGTACGTGCTTACCGCTTTTCTAAACTTGCCTGTGGAGGAGGAAGTGTCTATATCAAGGCAATACACAGAGCATACTACCTCAACAATGTCAGCACACCAGACAAAATCAAAAGAGTACCACAGCAACGCAGTTAATGCATGAATTACGGTACATGTATACCTGTCGACTTGCTAACGACAAACATCGGTCTACGGCTGAAGTCAGAGAGCAAAGTCAGGAAACAGAAGAGTAAATAAATGTCTATCAACATGGACGTTTGTTGGTCTGAATCACTCGGGATCATCGTACGCACAAAACAAGTCTAAAAGCCTTATAGACAGTTGGAGAGAGACAGGACAGCACAACTTTGAGTTAACCATTTTTGGACAATTAAACCCACACATGGTCTGCGGTTGATTTCGCTTACTTTTCCCCCGTAAAACAAAAGACTTACAGAAATTCCTCTAAACCCATCCGCTTTAAAACCACCCCAACTTACCAACACAGGAGGTTTCAGTTTGTTTTATTGCAAAAACACAACAGGCAATAGCATTTTAAAACTGAGATGATTTACATGGTAATGTCTACAGTTTAATAAACATGAGTTCTAACCACATTTAATGTAGATACAGGGCTGGAATGACCATATGTAGAATTACCTCACTAAAAACAAAGCATTTACAAGAAAAAGGAAAAAATAAACAAAACAAAAAAAGGAGGACGTGTTCGCCGGGTACTCTGCCATCTATGTGAAACACTTTCAAACCAAGGAAATTTAAGATCTTCATCAAGGCGTCTGCATCCAAACATTTAACAAAGGATTTTGTTTCGACAATGTAGCATTTACTTTATGTCCACTTCACATTACTGGCCCTGTGCAGAAGAAATACATAGAAGATACATTGCATGTTAACAGCGGAAACAGTGGACTCAGCTTCCCAAACACAAAAAAAAAGAAGCTTAAAACCTGTTTAGGGAGGAAATGGTGTGGGTTAAGTGTGTGAAGCGGCTGCAGCCACTGGAGCCCCTGTAAAAACCTGAGGAAGCAAGGCGGTTACGGCACAAAAGAATTGCGTATTCAGTGGATGTGGAGGGCAGATTCTTATCGGGGGTGTACCTGAGGAGCTTGTGGTGCTGCACCCATCGCCTGAGGGTTGGCTGTGCCGTAGTAAGCGGCCTGCTGGCGGTAGTACTCCGCCCAGGCGGCGCTGTAGTCCGGCTGGCCTCCGGGCTGGGAGGCAGCGGCCGCTGCTGCCGCTGCGGTGGCCTGAGGGGCCGCTTGACCTGGAACGGTAGAACAAGAACAAAACTTTTTGGAACCGCAAATACCCTACAGATACATGCATCCCGGTAGAACTGCTACTACAAACTAATTTACATCACGATAACAGTTACAAGTCTTTCGAGATAGCGCGTTTATGAGAAGGGGAACGAACCCGCCACCACTGTCTTTGGGTGGCGGGACAGAAACCTTCTGCCTTTCTCTTGGGCAGCTGAGAGAGCAGCCGCTCTACTGCAGAGGGCCGCTAGAGGAGCACAGCCACCCGTCAACACGGAACACAAGTCTGACTTGACTAACTTGTTCATCTACTTGGGGACATTCCCAGCTCTTGAATGAAAGTCATTTAAGTTTGTATTTATAATCATCGCTATATAAACACCAGGATCACACTTGATTCCTAAACAGTTTGGTTCACACACCGCAAAATGAGTCTCATGTGAGCTCTGAACAAACGGTTCAATGTTTACACCGCCTACATTTTAATTCCATGCATCCGTTTCGGTAATTGCGCAGACAAAGTAGAGATTAAAGCCTGAAGAGTGGAGAGTAAACTGTTCAGTGAAGTAAGTGTGATCTCAGTCTGGTTTCAGCTCACAGGAGTACCAACCTTGTTTCTTGTAATACTCCTCCCAGGCTTTCGTGTAGTCCTGAGGTTGTTGACTCTGTTGACCTGCAAAGACAAAAGGGAGAAACGTGTCAATGCGTCCGAATGTAAAATAAAATCTGAAATCTTATCCTACATGGTTTATATCCACGACAACAAATCACACATTTAACTCTACACACGTTAAGTAGCAGTAACATTCAAAAGATCTGCCTTCAGTGCTGATAAAGCCATGATATAGTCTAGAAAATAAACTACTCTAAGCTCTTAAAAAGGTGTCAATAGTGTTGCAGTCTAAACAGCACAGGAATCAAATGTCAAACCAAAGTGGAGGCACACTGAAACTCCACGGCAGGCCAGCAGCACGGTCAAATACCCAGACCTGAAAAAGAAGCTGACTGAGCGCCCCGTCGCTGTTTGGACTGTCTTGTGTCAATAGGTGTACACAGAAACTACGTTCGTATACCCGTTTTCTCGTAATATTCCTCCCAGGCCTTGGAGTAATCTGCCTGTCCACTCTGACCTGCAGCCTGTGGGTCACCTGTTAAAAAAAACGGGAACTTGTAATTAGTTAATTTCTTCCAGTAGTTTGTCCTCCACCTGCCTTGGTCGGGTCTGTCAGATTAAAGATAAAAAAAAAAAAAAGTTGTGTTTCTTTAAATGCTCTGCCGGTTAGTGACACCAGAACGTGAGCACAGAACACGACTAAAGTAAAGCTAGAAGGCTACACTGCTCTGTTCTACTCTACTCTCAGCAGTTTCTGCTTCTCCATCTGCTCCCACAGACGCCGCTAATCGAGAAACACGTCAGTCACCTTGGCCGTTGGATTGAGTCGTGCCAGGAGCTCCGCTGGTAGGGGTCATGGGCGCCTGCGGCTGCTGGCTGTACTGAGCGTAGTAGGCGGCCCACGCTGCTGCGTTGGCATCGGCTGCTGCTTTATCTGAACAAAGTTCAGGTTTTGTTACAAAACAAAAAAGGCTAAGATAAAAGTTGTAGCTTTTCATTATATAAACTGATATTAAACTGAGTCATTAACGTCTAATTTATTTGGCAAGAGGACATGAATAATTTTTTTATTTCAGTAAAACGTAGTGTGTTAACTGATGGTACTCACTTGGATCAGGTTGTCCCTGTTGCCAGTGTGGGTAGCCATTGCCCCATCCCTGAGGCTGGTAAGGTGCCGGTGGACCACTGATTAAAGAAAAGATAAATAACCTTTAACTTTCCACATCCTGTGTCTGAAGTATTCTTGATCTTTACATACGAGGGGCCACTGCACTTACTGTGGTCCTGGAGGTCCCTGGTTGTACGGTCCAGGGTTGTATGGACCCATGGGAGCCCCAGGGGGCCCAGGTGGTCCAGGAGGACCATGTGGACCAGGGCCTCCGTGTGGACCTGGACCTCCGTGTGGGCCACCCATTGGAGTAACGGGTCCCTGCAAACACAGAAACACATCCTGGTCAGTAAACAAGCTCATAAAAAGACAAAAGTCTAAAAGTATCAAACTCTAAAGTGTCTCACCCCAATTTTCTCCTCCACCAGCTGCCTGGCGTAGTCGATCTGTTGAGGGGAGCCCCGGACTGTGAACATCTTGATGTTGGGATCAGCGTTGGGTGGAGGATTCCTCTGCAGCTCGATCCTGGCTCCAGACTGCTGGCTGATGCCTTTGATTGTCTCTCCACCTGAAGAGTTCAGAAATAAAGATTAACCACAACAACCCAATAGCTTGTATAATAAGCACTGGAGGGTCTTTTTACAGGTGAAAGTCCCACGACCATTAACAATCAGGGTTCCTCACTCAGCATTGACGGGTCACTTGCCTTTTCCAATGATGAGACCGGTCTTCATGGTTGGGACAGTGAAGGTAAACTCCTGCAGGCCACCAGGGGGGCCCATGTTCCAGTTCCCCTGCCCGCGACCACGACCTCTGCCGCCACCGCCGCCACCACCACCACCACCGCCGCCTCCACCATGTCCTGGAGGCCCGCCGGCCTGGACGCTCCGCAGCAGATCGGAAATGATCTCTGCTGCGTGCTGGGCTTGGTCGGGGGGACCCATGATCTGTGCTATCCGTTCCGGTGTGCTGCCGTCATCTTGAAGGAGAAAACGTGGAGGTTGGAGACTATCGAGGCATAATTTATGCTGCTGGGATTTAACTCCATAGTGCCGGGGTCTCGTATTCAGGTCTCAGATAAAGGGTTGGGGTTATACATCAGCTTCTCAGCGTGGTGCATGAGTTTCATCACTGACCATACACATTTTAACGGCACCCAAATGACTTCACTCACCTGGTTTGAACTGAATCCGGACGCCCGTGTCGTTCTGTATTTTCTTGATCATTTCTCCATTTCTGCCGATGACAATTCCCACTGCAAACCGGGGGACAGGAACCTAAATGACAGCAAATAAAACCAAATGTTAAGTTACTGATTCAACCCCTCATCTCCAAACTGACAAACGAGACAATTACAAACACTTACATCTAAGCTGTCTCCCCCATTTCCTCCTCCATTACCGCCGCCACCACCACCACCTCCACCTCCTCCTCCAACCCGTGAGCCATATTCGCCCCTCTGCTCCCTAAAGCCTTGATCTCTGATCAGCTCCATCACCATATCTTTGGCTTGCTGAGGAGGAAAAGAAAGTATGTGTCATTACAGCATTCCCCCCCCCACTGGTTTACATGGAAAATCCAAGGAATGAAAGCAGAGGTACCTTATATAAAAAAACAAAATATTTACAATTCCATAATGTTGGAAGTGCACACGAGCAAGGACCCACCTGAACTTTAAAGGGCTCTCCTGAGATGCGGAGTGGCTTGTCAGCACCTGTGTTCTGGGGTCCGTCTTGGATCATGACCATCTTCACTCCAGCTCGTTCCTGCAGAGTAGAATGTGTCTTTGTCAAATGTGTTCGCCGTTGGACACCATCACTCTACTACTCGAGCTCTGACTGGCTGGACACTCACCTGAAGGCTTTTGATGGTTTCGCCACCCTTCCCAATGACGAGTCCGGCTTTAGAGGCAGGGACCATAATCTCCTGGACAGTCATCCCCGGCCCGTCGTTGTGGTTGAATGCAGGAGCTGGACGCCCCTTGTCAACGATCTCTGTTAGTAGCCTCTTTGCAGCCCTGAGGAGAGAAAAATTACCGTCATACTCAGACTGAAATCCCCAAGAAGGACCCAATTAAAAAAAGTGTTTTCCCTGAAGGGGACCGTTAAATGGAAAAAGTTTACTTACTGGATGGATTCTGGTCCCCCTGTTAATGTCACTGACCTATCTGGCATTCCTCCACTGTCTACAACACACAGATCCCAACAATAAAGCAAAACCATCATTTCCACGTATTACAGAGATCCACAATATCAACAACCGATCTGAACGTACCAGGCGCAATCTGTATCTTACATCCAGACTCTTGCTGTAGACGTGATATCTGTTCGCCTCCTCTTCCAATAACTACAAGGAAAATGGGTGCGTTACATTTCAATATCAACACCCACCAGACAGCGTTTGCCATTTAGTGTTTCAAAACTACTTACTGAATCCAACCATTCCATCGGGAACCTTGAATTCCTCTGATATTGACCTGAGAGTAACAGAACAAATCATTGTTAGCTTTGTAATCAATGACCAAGTGTGGCTCTTTCCTTTACTGTAACTCTGGTATCTACCTTGGGGGTCCACCCATTCCTCCCATTGCTGAAAAAGCTGCAAAATGAGAATGTACAACACATTAGGGGAACAAACATACAACACATTTATGTTTAGCACATGCAACACATGACCAATTCATGCTAATATTTGGGCCAATTACTTTGGGTTGGGAATCATCACAACAGCCACATACATAACTAACTACAGCTACGTCATCAGGTCACTTACCGTCGTTTGTAGCCACTTTCTTCGTCTCTGGTTGGTCTGTGACAACATGACATAATAACCAGTATAAGTATCTATCGTTATACCCACCATTGCATTACTACGTGTTTTTCAATTGGTAAATGGCTTACTGCCTGAAATGTAAATAGTTATAGCAAACAACAGAGGCCTGGATAGCCACCACACACAAAGGCTGGAATATACCCTCAATTGCCCATTAAAGCCCATAAACATACCTCCCTGACTATACGTTTAGTCTTTGTTGAAACTGTTCATCAGTCTTTTTGTTTGTGGTGCTGTGTGTCACTTTACAACATTTTAGCCCCAAAAATGTAGGACTTAAACTTCATTACTATTACCGAGTGGCACCCAATTAACATGAAACTTTTTTTTTTTTTTAAACATATACTTTACACTTGCCTGTTCTTACAATACAAAACAGAAACCAATAATGGCTCAACCTGCTCAGAAAGTACCCCCCCCCCTCTGCTTTTTAACTCATATATCTGTTACCAAATATTTCATTGCAAGGCACTGATTTGAAACAACTGTAAGGACAGACTGTGAAAATACAACTCAAAACACGCAATATCCATCATACTGCACTGGCTAAAACTTAAAACATTAAAAACAACTGTTCCATGTGGTTAGGAGTAATACACTGGGTGTTAGACTTAGCTACATTAATGCACATCAATATAAAAATATAATAATTAATTATCACTTCTAGGCAAATACAATTTAGTAGCTGCTAAAAAAATAAATAAAACACACAGGCAAGCATCAACTATCAAGACTTGCAATGAATCGATTTGAGCCACTGACCGATATTCAGGTTAGGCATGGGAAAATACCCACCAGCGTCCTCCAGGGGCCTTTTCTGCCCACCGTAGCCGAACTCGTTAGTCGGGGGTGCCGCAACGCCATCGCCACCGATCTTCGCTGCGATCTGAAAAACAAAGTAAACAAAGAGAGAACACTAATTTAAGACGACGCATCTGCTGCTGGTGTTTTTTTTAAAGCGAATGCTCGGTCACTCTGGCTGCGGCCTACACGACTTCTGTCCGGAAGTCTGAGCCAACAAAGGAAAAGATAATACTTCCACGTAAACTAACACGTAACCGTTGATGTTATCAAACAAATGCACCGCTTGTATTTCGAATAAAAGATTATGTGCATCTTATTAAATGTGTGCATTAATCTAAGATCGTTTTTATAGCATATCTGCTTCGCCTTGTGGCGGAACATGAGCTAATCGTTAGCTTAGCATAGGCCGCCGCGTTGTCGTATTTAACGACGGGTGTGGAGAAAGCAGCATAACTCGCTTTTCTGCACACGACTTCGACATTTTTTTTTTTTTTACACGAACTTAATTTAGTGGTCTTCTTACCTGTCGTGCTCTCTGAAGAGCGTCTTTAAAAGCGTCGTTCATTCCGCCGCCGTTGTTGGAGGACGGTGGAGCCACGCTGCTGTAGTCAGCCATATCTGGTGCTCTTCTCCTCCTCGGTGAGACAAGATGGTCGCTTACATCCACGGGAAGTTAACAGGAAAACTCGCGGGTAAACGTAGTCTCGCGATAACGACCATTGTCGTTTAATTCACACTTTCTTTTGTTTCCATCGTAGCCAAAATTTGTCAGTTTTAGTTTGGCCTAACTCACGGGTGAAAATGGAAGATGTCTGACCCTTGTTGTGAAATAACATTTTATTGTACAGCTCGCATTTCAACACATGTACACACTTTGTCACATTGTGAATGTCAATCATGAGGGTTTTTTTAAATCCCCATGTCTCATGCTCTTGGTCAGTGGCTATCCATTTACTTAACTCAAGCGTTCAAAAAAAAAACAGACTTATTAAAGATTGGATCACATGATAATCACACATCTTCAGCTGTTTTCCGAGGTTTTCCAGGATTCCAGTTATGTTCCAACACTCAGTTACCATTAATACGAGTTCACAGTTTGTTCCAAAGCAAGCAACCAATTTTGTTAATCTCAAGACTCCATTGAGGAAACCAGATTTTCAAATTTCCTAGTTAAAGTGTAGTTTATCAGAGCACATGGAATCGCCCTGACGAAGCTGGCTCCCATTCCATTATAGTATCCTCTAATTCCATGTTTTTCATATATCCCTATCAGTCCTCGTAACGCACCTGAAGCTGGACGGGAATCTGAGCTGAAAGCTGCAAAAACAAGACAAATGGCGATGAGTAAAACATCTCAAATAGTTTCAAATGATAACAAAATGTGTGACAGAAAATGCAGGTGTTTACCTTGTGCTTGCTGCTGAGTCCGGATCACTGCCAGCGGGTAACTGGTCATCTGTCCAGAGGCAAAGGCCACAAAACTGAAGAAAAACAGTTTGGAGTCACTGTTGTAAGCTGGATCACTCTTTGCCCAGTTTATGATCGACTGCAACAAGAAGAAAAAAGCCAAAGACATCTAAAAAATCTTTCAGATTAATTTGTGATTTATCTTTATCTTATCGTTGTTCTTCTGTCTCACCTGGTGAACTGCACACTCCACACCTGCGTAGGGGATCATGCAGAGGACGCTCGGCTTGAATCCTCTGTAAAAGGCGGACAGTGACTCTTGTCTGTAAATAGATCGAGCGCATGCCACAACACCATGGTACGTGCCAGCTTGCTGCAGGTTCAACCTCACCTTCAGCACCTGTAGAGGATATAAAAGGAGATATTACCAGAATAAACCGCCATTGATTTACTTAAGCTGGTTCATAAAATGGCCAGAAACTGGATTATCCATTTACCAGCTTCACAAAGTCTCTTATTATTCTTCAAATACAGATGTATTGCACATTTTCTTTTTCAGAATAACCAGTACCTTTTGAAACTGAAGATTTATTTTGATGTAAATAGCTGCATTTAAGATTCATGATGGATTATTATATATATATACAAATGTTACAAAAGGCATTTTATGTGTCAAATATGAGAGCAGCTCATTACAGAACAGAAACACGACTAACTGGTTTAATCTGTGAGGAACTATGTTCATTATAAACAATAAATAAAATGGACAATGGGACACACCCAAACGTTGATGCTTACATGACAATTGTGTTGCCAAGAAGCATGATGGCCCATTTTGCTTGTAAGAACCAGCTTTTGATATGTTGATTGAGCCTCTTAAACAGCAGGCGAGACTGAAGCATCTCTTGGCCTCAGTATTGCATCATATGTGACATTTGGTCAGATTTGGTATAAAAATCAGGAGCTTTGTTGTTTTACAGTAAAGTAGGGGAAACTATTTTATGACTTAAAGAAGGAGAGGGTTTAACAACTAAACACTTCTGTTTATCATAATGGGAGTTTGTGAAAGTAACGAACAGGAGTGTAAATCTCACATCCAACATCTTTCACCTCTTGAATTAAATATCAAAAATATTTAGTACCTCTAAAGGGTAGAAGGCAGCGTGAGCGGCAGCACCGGAGATGCAACCCAAGCCGAAACGCTGCTGCACCGTCAGAGTCTCCCGTGTGCTGTTCTGGGTGTGGGCCTTCATCTGGACAAAGCAGAGAAGCTCTGAGTGAGCTCGTCAGTCAGAAACAGGATACATGGTGCATACATAATTCACACCGGAGAGTTTGTCTGCTACCGTACGACTCACCTGGGCGTAGATGAGACACTGCAGCGTCGACTGAGGTGTTCCTTTCAGCACGTTGACGGAGTTGCCTTGCCACATCGACCGCAGACCACCTGCCCTCATCTCCTGGAAGCCTTGGGAGAAGGCTTTGGATCCACGAACCTACAGAGCACACAGGAAACAGTTTCATACGAGACCCTAGGCAGTTGCAATAAATGTACAGCAACTCCTGGAAAAAGTAATTGTAAATACTGGAACAGATGCTACACAAATTACAGGGTATCACATTTTTATCATAAAGCAGACACAGTAAAACAACAACAATACAGCACTTTGTTACAAAGATCAAGACATTTCCAGTTTAAGTTTCCATTTTCTGCAATTTGAGTTATGCTTGTTTGGCTTAAACCACATCAAATAATATCAGGTTTGATGTACAATGCTCCTCAAATGCCACTCAATGACATTCTTGACCATTAGGAACAGTGACACTATAATCTGAAGTCTTACTTGAGCTTCATACGAGTCAACAATCACACAACATAAAATGAACTGTCCCACCAAGTGCACAATGTGGGAAGAGTGTGGACGCTGCATAATTGAAAGAGCAAATAAAGGAGCTTTCCGACTGTATCGCTCCGGAAAGCCTAACTTACATTGCTACGGGTTCAGCTCTGGGAACCGTATGTGAACATCATGAAAGTTGGAAGTGCAGGCTTTACCTGAAATGAACTTGTAAACAGTGCATGTAAATATTTCATTTTATTTGTATTCTATCTGATATTGGTGTAAGTTCAGTGTGTATGTCTGTGTGATACATATTTCTGGACTCAAAACTGTTGTATTTTTACTATGTTTCTTTAATGTGTTACAACATAAAAACATGGTAATAAACATATTGGAAGGGGGACTGTCCCACTAACTAATGCTTCAAAAGAAGAAACTTAAAGTTCACCACTATTACAACATGCATGCCTGCAAAGCACCTGATAGCGGTGCTGACCTGGAGTTGGATCTTCAGGCGGTCGATGGGTGCCGTCACAGTTCGGGATACAGCATCTGCCAGACCCGCTGCCAGAACAAACGTCCTCCACGCACCAAAACCGGAGGCCTCTTCGGGGAACTCGATGGGCATCGCACGACTTTCACCCACATCGAAAACCTACAATTGCATTCGTCATCCTTTAATCATTCTGTCATTACTCATGTTCAAGTGGATGTGTCACCAGGATGTGTCAGAAGTAACATGATCGTGATGCCGCCAGAAGAGCCTACCAGACTGTGCTTCCAGGACGACACCAGCTCCCCGATGTTGTCCACGGGGTTGAGGATGACATAGTGCAGGAACTCACCCCAGTCCACCGTCATCGAACTGTCCTTATCCATCCTGGTGGATAAACACATGGTTTGTTTTCATCACATACTGTAATGAAAGAAGCTGTGTGACAACATGCTTGTATCGCTTTAAAAAAAAAGGCATGATAATAAATGTTTTAAAGGTCGCTGGAAGTCTTTTTTCAAACAACTGATTTGTGGCCATTATAAGAGCAGTAATTATCCAATATAATATAGGAATACACTGTATACAGGTCTGCCAGGCAGCAAGTCCAAGCTGAAGGACACCATCCTTTTATTCCTTTGTAACTGCAGGCTTGATAGCTTATTCAAACTTATATTTGATGATGTATATTACTGATCAGGGAGCATGATTAGATATATAACCAGTTATAAAGTAATCTGTGATAACATATCAACCCAAGTACACACCTGTTTAGAAAGCACCAATGTGCTTTGAACTCATTTCAGCATGGTAATACAACTGTTAAAGTTTTATATTTTACATAAAGGAATGTCTCTTTAAATACAACAATGAATCCATGAGGTAGTGGGCAAAAAAATCTTACATTTGAATTATTTTTTTTGCATTCGGCTTTGATATGACCACTCCTAACTCCTTAAACAAACATATGATGTCTTCCTGGTCAATCACCCCTGATCAGAGAAGAAAACGCACACAATTACATACAGGTACTTGTACTGCTCATTCAGTTATCATATTTCTGGGAATTGACATTGTCAACGCTATGAGTGCAAAGGTTACAGCCTGCAGGACTTTGCAGTGTATGTTGTCTTCTGTGTACCATAAACAAGCTATCTGTCTTTCCTGTCTGACCTTGAAGAATTCACATTTATAGTAGTATTATAAAGAATATGTGCATGTAAGACTATCATCTTCTACATCAGTATACTGTACTACTATAGTAGAGCACAGTGTGTTGCTTACAGGAGATAACAATAGGAGGTGTAATGCTTGAAAACATATTGCAAAATCATTGTTTATGTATTCGACAAGGCTATATTGAACTTTGTTGCATTTCCCTGTGTTTCCTTGAGAAATAAAACATTGTTGAAGTCTGTGATCACTCACCACACTTGTTCTTGTCAAGGTCATGAAAGTGAATTTTCCACTTCCTCTCTCTGTCCATCATGTAGCAGAGGAACTCTTTATAATCCAACAGGCCATCTTTGTCTTTGTCATAAGAATCGATTATATTCTAGGGGATAATTAGCAGGTTTGTGTTGATTAGTGCTTGAATAAATGAATGAAATTAGACAGACTATAAAAAGGGAATATTGTTACCTGGACCTTTCCATCCGCTGAGAGGATGCCATGCTTCCTCATTTCGTCTTGGAGCTCCGACACCGATATGACTCCATCCTCGTTTTGATCCAGTTTAGCAAATAAACCACGAAACTGATCCATGGTGCGTTGAGAAACAAATTAGCCCCAGAAAAAAATAATCAAGATGTTTAAAAAATAAATGCAGCGTGCTTCATCAGGTGGGAAATAATAAATGATAATTTTCAGAGACTATTGACCTGCAGCTCTGCTGGGACGCTGACTCATCGGCGGGGTTTAGTGTCAGTGCTGCATGGGCGCTTTTATCAGTAGCTCAAAGAGAAAACATCAGTTTCTGTGTGGTGCAGCAGGTGGCGCTGTGGCTGCAAGAGAGCCGACCACATCATCTTCATCATCATCTCCAATAATCACTCTTCCTCCTCCTCTGTATGTGGGCGTGCAGAGACAGACAGGGGATAATACAAGACAAGAATATATAGTCATTTTGAAATTGAGCAAAAAAAAAAAAAAAAAAAAAAACTTAAAAAAAGAGAAATAAATAAAAACTGAATAGAATGAATTTGGAATAGTTACATATGAAAATGAATTATTACATAAATGAGGGATTTGTTAAATAAATAGATGAAAAATATTCATGTATTTCTCTATTTCTGTGCATATGTATTTATCAAATTGACCTGCACATTTATTTAAAATCGAGGATTTTATTTCTACACAATTTGAGCCATTCAGTTATACATGTATTGTAATGGCAGCTTCAGTCCTCCACAGTGTTGAGGCAGGTGGATACCACAGGAATAGTCCGGGTATAAAATTGATGTGTGTCATTATTGTGATTTGTTGTGTATGTGGAATAAAAAATAAAACGCCCCCTAGTGGCTCAAACTGGTATTTTTTCAGGTAGGAATTATTTAGCAGAATAGAAAACAAGCTGCTATGAAGTATTTTTTTTTTCGCCCCCCGAGGACCCTCAGGAAGCAGGCTAATCAGGCCATGAACCAGAGGTGATGGTCATATAGTGGAGTGCATTCTGATCAATATTACCCTACGTTGCCTGAACTCACATTCATTCCACTGACAGCTCATCATGACAGAGCAGCCGGCACCCGGTCTCTGCTCACCGGATCCAGAATCAGTTCTTGTGTTCAGCTTGACGTTGGCGCTGTGAATGCAGGGGAGGTGGGAGCTGTGGCTATTTAAAGAGGGACATCCAGTCCCGGATAAATAGCAGAAGGTCCACGTCGTTGACTAACAGCCTCCAAATGTTTTTTTTCATCCCGCACTGTGTATCCGTCTGTGGCTGAGGCGGCTTCACTCCGGTGACAACCCACCCGTCGAGCATCAGTCCAGTCCACCAGCTCCTCTCATTGATCTAGTCTCCTTCTTTCTTTCTTTTTTATTCTTTATCATTAGAGGAGACGTGAAAAATGGGCAAAGATTATTATAAGACGTTGGGTATCTCTAAAGGAGCCACGGACGAGGATATTAAGAAAGCTTACAGAAAACAAGCGTTGAAATGGCACCCCGACAAGAACAAGTCTGCAGCCGCCGAGGACAAATTTAAGGAAATCGCTGAGGCATATGAAGTCCTCAGTGATCCGAAGAAAAGAGAAGTTTATGATCAGTATGGAGAAGAAGGTAATTTTTTTTTATTGCCTTGAATTACATTGCCTAACCTTGTGTGGCGGTTTTTAATTCACCGTTAATATACCGTTATAAACCCGTTATAAAGCCTGGATGGTTGCATGTAAAACACAGCTGGCTTTAATTCAAGTCAAACAGTGTGACCAGCCGTTTTAGGAAACAGCTGTTCAGCAGTTCACAGGCCTACAGTTCTGTGTATTTTATGACGAGGATTATGACACCATATCTGCAGTTATAAGCTTCTGTTATAAGACAAATAAAGGCCTGTCATCAGTTCCACCACAGGTATTCTTAAACATGCGGTGTTGTAATATAAAGAAATACATATTTGTAATTCCATCACAGTCTTTATGTAGAATGTGTCGTACCTACAATGTAGTATCTGAACAGATGGTTATGGATGGGAAGCATGTTGAGGAAGGAAAAAAGACCACAAATCATCTCTACATCCATCTACAAATTAAAAATGAAAGGGAGTATCCCAAGATAACCTTATTTTTACCATTTAATGTACCAAATGTGCTGAACATCTTCAGAAAGGGCCAGTATAAGTGAATAGGTGTAAAGCATACACATGTTTGCTAATAGAGAAAAGTCTCCTCTAAAGGCTCCCTCAAGCCATGCAACAAACATATGTGTGTTTTTTTTGTAATAAAATGAAAGTTCTCGAACATTGCTATTGGACAAACCCATCATCTGAGTAGATTATCGACTGTAATATCTCCAAAAATGGAATATCTTCATCAGGTATCGGTAATAATGGGCCGATCTGGCATCGGATACCATTATTTTAGTAAATAACAATTCAGTACATTTCTATCTATGCTTTTATTTGTTACATTTTGTTTTACAAAGTTACGAAAGCAATGTTTAAGTAAGAGTCGGATCAGTACTCGGTATCGTCCAAAACCCAAAGCCCATGTATTGTATTGATGTTGGGACTGAACATGTTGGATCGGTGCATCAAGAATTTTTCAAACAGAGACAGAGTCTCATGATACAGATTCCGATATCTCAACTCAGGCTATCGACCAATACACCGGTTTGAAACCAGAGCTCTCATTTTGCTAAATTTTAAATCAGTTTGTTACACTTTGTGGAACTCATCAAGATCATTTTTGGCAACATGATGCTAAGGATTGGGATGGTACTAAAACTGACACAGTGGGCTGTCTATAAAGACAATACTGTAGGGCGGCAACTAACCATTATTCTTTTTAAACAATTAATCTGCTGTGTATTTTGGTTACATTGGTTTATCATTTGGCCTCTAACACATCAGAAAATAGTGAAGAATTTCCATCACGATTTCCTAGAGGCCCACAGTGACTTCTTCAAAAGTGTTGTTTTGTCTGACCGACGCTCAAACACCCGAACATGTTCAGTTCTCAGCAACGTTAAGACGAGGATAAGGAGCAGACTCTCACATTTGAGAAGCTAGAACCAAAATAGTACTGTTGAGCGACTAATCAGCTAATAGTTAAAACTCTAGTAAACTGTATTTAATGTGGATTGGTCATTTCATGGTCAGTGAGGTCAGTATTGGGCCTGATATCTGGTGAATAGGACTGTCAAAGTAAAGTCATCACTTGTGGCATAAAGCGACTGCTCAGTGTCAATGTTAGGATGACTGATCTTCATATCACTCCCCCATCAGGTCTCAAGGGAGGAAGTGTTCCCTCTGGTGACGGGCCAGGCAACACCTACACCTTCCATGGGGACCCTCACGCCACCTTCGCCACTTTCTTCGGGGGTTCGAACCCCTTCGACATGTTCTTCGGGCGTAAAGCCAACGGCCGAGACGACGACGACATGGAGGTGGACGGAAACGACCCCTTCGGCTCCTTCACCAACTTCAACATGAACGGGTTCCCTCGGGACGGGCACGTCGGCCCCGGAGGGCCGCAGCGCCGGAAGCAGGACCCGGCCATCATCCACGAACTGAGGGTCTCCCTGGAGGAGGTCTTCCACGGCTGCACCAAGAGGTTGAAAATCTCCCGCAAAAGGCTAAATCCGGATGGCAGGACCATGCGCAATGAGGATAAGATACTCACTATCGAGATCAAGCGGGGCTGGAAAGAGGGAACCAAGATCACGTTCCCGCGGGAGGGAGACGAGTCCACCAATACCATTCCTGCGGACATTGTTTTCGTCATCAAGGACAAGCCTCACCCTCACTTTAGGCGGGAGGGCTCGAACATTGTGTATCCTGTGCGCGTGAGCTTACGACAGGTGAGGCGTTTTCTGTTTTTGCACCCACTTATGACTGAGTGTTGTGGTATTAATAGAGTCTGATCGATGGATTCGTCACACACAGGGGAGATTCAGAAAAAGCTCATATTTACTTTTCGAGTGCTGCTTTAAAGCTCCGATGCTCAAAAAGAAAAAGCCTGGTCACAATGTAAAAGCTGTGGGAGTCTGCCTCAAAAGTTGTTTTTCCCTGGAAAGTACAGGCGTCCTGAATGAGCATAGTACTGAACTACACGCACGCACTTTTTGCTGCGCACTTATGCAATCTTGATAAACATTGAGGAATAGGAGCTGTATCACAGGGAGGCGGCGGCCACCCACGTTGCAAGATGTACTTATGTTCCTCCTACTCTCTTCAACACTCTCAGATCTCACTGCTTCATCTCTGAGCATGTGACCGATCTATGCAAACAGCAGCATTCACCTTAAAAGTTTCCTAAAACATGTGTGGGACTATAGTCAAATAGAATAGTTGTATATCAGCATGAAAGAATGCATTCTGGACGGTAGTTTGATCAAATAATCTTATCCCAAGGACCACTTTCTAGAACTGTGGAAGAAGCATCTCACAGTCTTGATCTAAAAGACAAGAAAAGAGAAAAAAACTGTGGTTGTTTCAATCCAACATCAAAGGTAATCTTTGAATAGAGAGATTACAACCACCTGTTATCATGTGATGGTAACTGAGCAAACTGCATCCACTAATGAAGACTGTTGGTGTGGTCTATAGCAGTTAGAAGTTCTGGTAAAGCAATTAAATGGACTTTAAATTAAGTCTTTTTCGTGAAATTAGTTGTATAATGTACACAATGTTCAAATATCTAGGGTCCTGTGTAGGTCTGCACATCAAAAATAAAGCAAACACTGTGGTGGATTTGGGTCATTTCCAAACAGAAATCTGTTATAATGGTCCATTATGGCCAATTTACTGTTAACTAAGAAGCTCGAGCTACAAAAGTATTTAAAGCTATAAAACTAGATACTCAGAAGGTCAGTTGAGGAAGCCATTTTGCAAAACAGAGCAACCTGCACACTGTCTACAATATTAGCTTATCACAGATATATTGTGTCGACTTAAATATTTGCTGATAAGCAACTAAATAAATTGTGATATAAAAACACCTAAGATATGTTTGAGGCAATTTAGAAACTGACACCAGTAGATAGTTTGTCCACGAGAGAAATTCAGAGATACTGAACATATATCGGCCAACATATTATTGGGATTTTGTGATTTGAACTGTCATATATATAGATGTCACCAATTGTCCCAAAACCTCTGCCAATAGTGTAAATGATTTTTGCATTTAAGGCAAAAGTGTTTCCATCCTTCATCAACTTTCAGCTGAATTTTATCGTGGTGACATGAACATTTCTCGTCGTCGTACAACCAATGTTGTCAAGTGACTGGTAGCGATTAGCAGCAAGCTGTTCATAAAACTAACACAACTACTGACGCTTTTATTTAGCACATTGATGTCAATGTCTCATAGTCAGCTGCTTTGATTATCAGGGGGATGATAGGATGAGGGACATTGTGCACATTTGCTACAGTGTGCAATCTATTGATATCAGAACATATCCTACTAATATTATGTTAATTTCAACAATATTCCCTACTAGTTTACATCTGCATGTAATCTCAGCCAATGAACAGATACATGTGTTGTTCTCACTCTGACCTCCATGCTCCTGTCTTTCTCAGTCGTTGTGCGGATGCTCGGTCACCGTGTCAACGATAGACGGGCAGACGTGCAACATGAAGATCACGGATGTCGTCAAGCCTGGCATGAGAAAGACTGTCGCAGGACAGGGCCTCCCCTTACCCAAGAACCCCGAGCAGAGAGGAGACCTGGTGGTGGAGTTTGACGTTAACTTTCCTGAGGCGTTGCCCGGCAATGCCAAGGACGTCCTGAAACGGCATTTACCTGCTTAGGACGAAGGACACGAGGACACTGAACGAGGGGAGATAACCACATGATCGCGCCCGCCCTCGTTACCTAACACACTCACACAAACACACTCACACACGCGGACGGCTCTGACACTTCACAGATGGACCCCTACGACGAATGTGCAATTTCTATTTTTGAGCTATGTGGTGTTTTTTATAAATACCGTGCATGCTGCCAAGTAGATATATACGTGCAAGACTGTCTGGGTTGTGGATATCTGAAAGAAACACATTTCATGTCTGTGGGTCTTTGCCACAATCACTTTATCTTTTTGTTTGTTGGAAATATTTGGTAGTGAGTGAGTCTACAGTTGCCAAAAAAAAGTGTTTAAAAAAATTTAGTGTTTATTTTATCATGTAGAGAGACAAGCCTCGATTTGCAGGCTGTCTTAAAAACCTTTGTAGAGTTTGTTCAAGAGGAACGTGGTTGAATGAACTGGATCGTCATGCGTGCATTTTAGAAACGTACATGTGAAGATATTGAACTTGAATTTTAAAATAAATATTTCCACACGAAGTGGTCTCGAACTGTTTCAGTTACGGGGAGGCATGTGATGAATTAAATATAAAGTGTATTCACAATAATCCCTTTAAAACAGTTAATGCAGGTTCGGCCTATTTATAGTCAGCGAACATTCTGCATACAGCAATAGTGCACAAAGAGAGTCCCAGGAAATGGTTCCTCAGACTGATATATTAGTAGTCAAATGTGAATATTTTGTCGTTGTAAAACTTATACAGTCATTTTTCTGATGTGCAATTAAAAATACGTTGACTGAATTTAATGCTTACTAATGGCAAAACTATGAGTGTGTAAATATAGCTGCCTGGTCTCAGCTGCTGGCTATCAGCTGCCAACACAGACACCTTTACTGTACATTTTCCCACCAGGGGACGCCACATCACTCGTCATGGCGGCTCCTGGCTTCAGGGGCCCACAGAGGCGGGGAGTCCTTGTTGGACATCTGTACTCATGAGATTAAAGCTCAAAGCCAAATACAAGCTGCTATTACATGGCTGTAACATTACATACATCTTTTCATTTAATACCACAGATAAGTACCATTTTTTTGCATCTATCTGTAGCTTTAAAAATAAATATATATTTTATGAAAGGAGAAAAAAGGATGGAGACCTCTGGGTGCACAAATTATGGCGAGCAAAGATTTGTACTAAATGTCCCTATAATAACTTACATGCACATAAATGTGTGTGTGAGAGAGACGTGTGCAAAGTCTGAGTCACTGTTATCCAGGGAGGGTGGAGGGTAAACACACCTGCTCCTTCTCAATGTGAGTCAAAAGGGAATCTTTATGGCTTTACATTGTAGTATCTAAAATGAAAGGATGGTGTTTTTAAGGGAAGAAGAAAAACATGTATGTCATTAAATATCTTAATTGACAGAATTTCAGTTGACACACCTTTCTGGTTACAATAATCCAGTGTCATGTTTCATTAGTTATTACATGCTAAGCTATATATATTACAAATCCTGCAATTAAAAGCTTATTTAAGTAAAAGTACCAAAGTTTTAGCATCAAAATATACTAAAGCAACAAAAGTAAAAAATACTAGATATGCAGAATGTCCCATTATATATATAAATAAATAAATAAATAAATAAATAAATAATGGGACATAGCTAGTATTTTTACATTTTTAAAAAATGTTTACTTTTGTTGCTTTTTACTTTTGCTTATATATATATATATATATATATATATATATATATATATGGAGCACGTGTTTAAAAAACACCTAAGTAATGTTTCTAAGTGAGTACAGGTGCACTGGGACAGAGCCCGGGTTCGTCCCACTGCGCCTGCGTCCCGCGGATAGACAGAGGAGCTTTTGTTAGCCGCGGACAGGAGCAGCCAGCAGGTTGTGTCAGAGTTGATCCCGCACTCACCACAACCTACCTGTTGAATATTCCCACCATTCATACCGCGGGCGAGGACCGAGCCTCTTGTCGAAGAAGAACTAATCTAAGCTGTGGGGCAGGTGATGAAAAGGAGAAGTGTGTCGCGGAAGGAAGGAAGACGTTGAGGAAAAAGCTTCGGACGCAAAGAAGGAAGTAAATACAGAGAACGCGACCGTTGGGTTTGGAACTCAACAGGTTGGCTACTTCAATGTTCTAACCGCGGCTCGGACATTTTTTTTTTTTGGGGAAAAACAAAAGCAAACAACAACAAACAAAAATGCCGTTGGGACCATGGAGGAAGAAAAACAAGTCGACGAAGGAGCATCTGGTGGAGAACGAGGAGGTCGGCGGCGGACACGCAGGTGCCACCGGGAGCGTGGCTAAATCCGCCGTGAACGGAGCGGGACTGCCGCCTCCACCTGCCAACCTGCGGCCCAAGTTGGTGTTCCACACGCAGCTGGCGCACGGAAGCCCCACCGGCAGGATCGAGGGCTTCTCTAACGTGAAGGAGTTGTACGGGAAGATAGCAGAAGCGTTTAATATCAATCCGCCTGAGGTAAGTAAGAGCTCACCTGTAGCTACAGGAGGGCGACACGTGATTTAGTGCTGCGTTCAAGTGTTTAACTCGAAGTAATGCCCAACAGATACTCTTGTTTATATATGCTCCAAAACTAAACTCACGTACAATTTTGAGGTACTTGTACTTTGCTTATTTTAGTATTTATTCCTAGCTATATTGCATGGGAAAATATTATACTTCTTTTTTTTACCCCACTACATTTATTTGACATTTGGGACAAGCTTTTCAGATTAAGGTAGTAATCATATTATGATACGATTAATACAATCCTCTTATAAACAAACCCCAAAGGGACAAGGGGCCCCAATGCTGGGGCTTTTCATATGTCTATGAATTATCAGCAGTTCCACTAAATATAACATTTGCCCTTTAAACCACAAATGATTCCAGATGGATAAATGTTTGAGGCCCAAGAAGAGCAAATTATCAATTATTTAAATGTTACATTTTCCTTTCCTACCCTTTGAAATTAATCGCATCATTTAACTCAGATTTAACTAGCTAGTTGGTGTTTGTAAAGGCACGCCCTGCCAGCCTGCACACCTTCAACCCTGTAGGACTGAGATAGATTGGTGTCTTATCTTGACTAGGAAGTCACCTGAAACCTGAAACCTGACAAATTACCTCGAATTTCTAGATACAGGTTGTTCACTCAGCTTCAAAATGTTACTGAAAAACAAAAGCTACATGTCTGACGAAGAGGTCTTGAAAACAAAAAGCAGGTTCCGTGTCCTCCCTCTAAGCTCCAGACTGCTTAAGCTCCTCTTTTCAAAGGAGAGTGTGAATGGCATGTTTGGCTTTTGTCAGCCTGAAATATGACTAGATAGGCCGGTGGAGCCGCCTGTTATCAGCCCTGTGTGCGGTGAGAGCCACAGTGCGGTGAGAGCCCCCCCCTCCCTCTTGAAGCTCAGAGATACAGTCGCTTCATTCAACGGGTCCAATAATTGGAAAGGAATTTGTCTCGTTGGCATTGGTGCACAGTGATGCACAACATACAGGACTTTACACACACACACACACACACACATATATATAAGAACAAAAGTGCGGTGAGAGCCCCCCCGGTATTGATGAAATGA